AGCTTATGGTTCGGGGTAGGGCATAGCGGACCCCGCTCCTGCGGCTTCATTTCGGCATGACTCCGTCTCACGGGGGAAGCGGTGTGAAGCTATTGGGGAGTTCTGGTCATTGGTTTTGGAGGTCTTGGAGGTATGATGAGCAGAAATGCAAAATCATGGTGTTGCGATGGGCATGGCGGTGGAGGTCTCGATACCTTTTGACCCGAGTCTGTTCGGCAAATGGTGTGTTCATTAATAAAGCTATTTTGAACCTCAACTCATTTCTACTTACATGTTCACGGCAACTCATGATTCAACTCTCGAATTCTTCAAAGACATAACACCGAAGGTACAGCTCATAGATTTTAGCCAGACAGCGTAGGCCATTTCTGACGAAGTGATTCTTCTGTGTCTTACGATTACGGCTTAGCAGCACCGCATTACTAAGATAGAAAAGACATTATACCATATAAGATTATTGTTGCATTGCAATTTCCTTGAATAATGGTGACTGAAGACCGCGCAAGAACGCTTAGCTGTAAACACCAATCGCGTCGTCAAACGCCTGATCAAGAATGCCTTTACCAAAGTCCAAAAGCCCAGCATCCTCGGCGGTAACCTTTTCTTTAACAGCGGCAATGAGTTCACCCGTGTGTTCCTTCAAGGTCTTGAGGTCCTTCAATACGATCGGAGCGGTGAATGTTCTCTTGAACGCAGGGTACTACATCATGTTAGTCCATTCAACTCCCGTCAGCGTACACGGCCATACACACCTTGGTCTTGAGCGCAGACAATGAGTCCTTAATGGGACCAATCTGGGTTGCCAGAGTCTGCACAACCTCTTTACTATCCGGCGCAGTGAACTTGCTGCTGTCTTGCGCAGTTTCTGTTGCTTTGGACACCAGGGAATCGACTTTCTTCTCCGCAGAAATCACTGCGATGCCTTGGGGAAGGACGCCAAATAGGGAACCATCGTAGTTGTTGACAGCGGTTGTGAGCTGCGTCACGGCTGTGTTTAGACTCCTGATTTGTTCGAGTAGTTGGGGTGCGAGAGCTTGTGAGTCCTGACGAGGCGCCAAAGGGATAGCTTGACTTATGGCGATGAATGGTAGAAGGAACAGAGAATAATGCATGATGAAGTATCAGTCACACTGGTATGGGACGGATTTGGAGATCTGTGCTCTGGTCACTCAGACTGAGTGTACGAAGTACCTCCGGGTACGCGTCGCTGATTTATACTTCAGCGCTCTTCACATGGCGTCCCTCTCATTTCAAGAGGAATATCCCGAGGTCTTTCCGAACGTATGGTTCATGCTCGCGTGCGAAGTCGATCACTCCTCTTGACCTGGTACGGCTAGGTGCAGTAGTCGACGCACCCGCTTTGCGCCATAAACTCTAAGAAGCAGACTAGGAACAGTGGTTCTTGACAACTACCCACTGAAAAAAAGACTTTTCCCGCGCCGTTCATCTGACATGTGTATTTGAATAGCGAGAGTCTGCCTCCTGCAAACGAAAACATGGCATGATAATTCTTTGCCCAGCTCTTCGGCGATATTTGTGATTAGCTGTGGCTTATTGCTGTCAAACGTGACTGTTAGCCTGTCTAAACTTCCCCAAGGACGCTCCACGTGAACCATACTTTCCCAGGTTGAGGTAAAAAGTGGCCTCAACCAATAATGATCTTCACTTCACGATGATGTACCTCGGAGATCAGCTAGTCTCTTTCCATAATCGTATGAAGCGACGACGAATGAGATGGTTCGTGATGGCGGTTGAGAGGGGTTTGCGGGGCCCCGCCTTTCACGAGCGGGCGTTTCACGAGCGTCCTCGGCATTAGCACAGAACCTTGTTCCTGCGCTAAAACAAAACTTGACATGAGCCACACATGGACGATGCCTCGTGGCATATGCGTGCAGACGGTCCTATGGTAGAGTTCCTTTTCATAATGCATACCTTGGATGTCTTCGTCCAGCTGTATACAGCCGATGCGAGTTGTTGCAACTTTTCCACGTGCTCAATCTACCTACATTCGCTGAAAATTTGAAAGCAGCGAGCGTCTTACTCGATGCGCCACAAACATCAAGTGCACTCAACAGGTGAAAGATAGGTAAATCTTGGACCCCTGCCGCTTGATTGGCACACTAAGGGCGGAGTCTGAACCGGTCCAGAACTTTATAGAAGAATAAACAAGACAAGCTTTAGTGCTCAATACAGCATCTTTTCTCCTTTACATCCAAGGCGGCTTCTTCATGGCTAATAATTACGCCTACTCTACCTCCGGCCCCGAACACAAAGGCGGTAGTGCAGTATGGCCAATTTCTATGTTATAACAGAACTACCCGGAAACGCTACAATTTCACAAAGAACCTAGTCTTAACGACTGCTCTGGCGACGACTCATTTTTTGGCCGCCGGCATCTTCTTAAAAGGTATCAGAGCACTGTGTTTAAGTAAGAGATCCGAGAGCTGTCTCTGCAACGTTAGTCTCGCCCTTCTTGCGCGCAGCTTTGGTAAGAGTTACCTATCATCGCACATGAAGCTGGTCCCGATATCTGTTCCCTTGCTTACTACGGATGTGTCATTTAACAGGGATACTCTACCGATCACTTGTGACTACCTCCACATGCCCTGCCTTTTTCACTCTGCGTTCATTTTCGAGGTCCCACTACCACTTCACTATTTCGCTTTATCTCAACTCAAGTCAACATAACACGAATATGAGATCTTGGATTGCAACTCATAGCGCCGTCATGGTCGGCGCGACCTCTACTCTCCTGAACGCTACACCCAGACTTCTCAGCCGAACTCCGGATTGCCTTTTATGGCCTGATCAACGTTCCATGCTCGTTGTGGACTCCGCAGAAGACTCCGCAGTAAATGGCTTACCAGCTCAGCCATACGACATCATCTTCCCATCAAAAGTGCTCCCGCTGTTGGCTATTGACCTTCGTGCATCCCGACGCATCGCAAAAGCGACCTACGCCTGCGAAGCGGGGCAAGCAACTCTCTCTTCGTCACCCAGCAGGAAACTTGCCATCTGCCAGGATCGCGCAAATGGACACATCCTGATCGACGCACCTATGGAAAAAGTCTTAGTCCCAGAGTTGTATGCGCACATTGTCGATGGTGTAGAGCTCAACGGCATCTATCTCGGAGTAGAGAATCAAACAACATGGGGATTCCGATACACTCCTGCGACTTGTCACGCAAACGCAACTCTATCTACAAGAGACTATTATGAAGTCAAACTTCTCGGCCTGCCAGAGAGTAAGTGGGATACTGCGGGCTACGAAGTAGAGTTTCGAGGGTTTTTGAAAGTGGTCAGCTGGTTTTGAGAGTAGAGTAGACGGTATCCTGGCACCCTGGCATGTGCTCGAACTGCGTGAAGATGCAGATTTTGATGAAAATCAAGCTCGTCGGATACGCACTACTTGGTGCGTGTTATTTCACACCGCAGACTGTTGAAGTCCAGCTTCAGTCACAAGTCGAATGTTCCGACCAGTTCAACGGGTGTCTCCAGGTAGACGGCGGCACGGCTTGTGTCATGCAACATCTTCCACTGGACTCTGAGCTGCTCTGCTGATCACATTTCCATAAATGCCGCTGCCGTATCTAAATGCGCTTGGTGACTGTTTGAAAGAGCTGTGCCGCGTGAGTACATGGAGTTGATGGGATGTTCGCGTTGCACCGATCGGCGCCCCACTTTGCATCGCCCTGTGAGAGCGTTGCGACGTTTCCTCGAGAACACCATCTTCCTTGACATCACTCAACATCAGTAGAATATACACAAGTCCAAAGCTATCGATAACTCACGAAGGCTTTTTCTTAAGAAATTTGTCGTGTAACACGATGGCAGCTGATTCGGACAAGTCTGAGGCGCGCGCTCTTCCGACCGCCGATGAGCTGGCGCAGGCGCTCAAAGTCGAAGTGTACGACAACAAGGGCAAATCCACGCCACTTGGCGACCTGGCTAAAGGTCAAAGGACTGCGCTCATATTTATCCGGCACTTCTGTAAGCGGTCTGGTATCTAGAAATTTGATTTGCGAACACTCACATGACAAGGGTGTACAAACTGTAAAGTTTTTGTTCGGCGTCTCAGCGAGGCTGTACCGCCTTCAGATCTGCCCGCAAACACACGAGGTACGCATTTCCTTTCTGGTCACTAAATTGTGCTGAGACTGGCTACAGTTCTTGTCATCGGTTGCGGTTCATACCAACCCATCGACGACTGGGCAACCGCAGCCTCATCCAAGTATCCTGTATATACAGACCCTTCAAACAAGTTGTATACGTTGTTCAAGTTTAAATCAAACCTTTCGCAAGGCGATGGTAGCGAGCCGCGCGACTACATGCGCGATGCAGGTGGGGCTGTTGCAAGATGGTTCAGTGGCATCACGGCTGCTTTAGGCAGTCTACAGAATCTGCCATATGTCGGGCCAAAGTCACAGAATGGTGGTGAAGTTATACTTTCCGCTGGTGAGTTAAAATCGCGCTGTTTTCATGTAATGACGCTGACGGCTTATGCAGAGGGCGAATGTGAATTCATCAGCCGCATGCAGACCACGGTGGATCACACTAACGTATCGGAGCTCGCTACTCTGCTCGGTGCCAGTAAGCATGATACCGCTGGACAATGAGTAGAATTGAGAACCGACGAAAGGCAAGAAGTAGAAAATACAACAGGTTGATAGTCAGTCTAGCTTCATGGTTTGATGCGCACGAGCGAGTTGCTGAATAATCCAAATTCCATGCTTGTTGAATCTCACTGACCGTTCCGAATTACACGACATCATGTCGAGACGTATATTTTCTTTTGAATCGAACATGGCTTTTCTACGGTTCGTCAATTTCACGTGGAAGCATGCGGCAGGATCCAGGAAGATGGCTCACTTCCACCATAATGACCTTTAATCACGATTTTGCTGCAAGACAATTTAAATATCGTGGAAGGATTCAGGGGTGCTGGCACTTTATCGGTATACACGGATTTCAATGAGAGCAGCCTCGTGTCTGTCGTGCGAGCATGTATGATATCGGTCACCGAAGACTCTGCCGCGTGTCCGCCCATAGCGAACAAGATGTGTGGCAGGGGTCAGTGCTCAAGCATGTGTGGTGTCAGGTCGAAGAACCATTCGCCAAAGCTTGCTAGGTGCATGTTGATGTGCGAGGTGGGGCTGGGGAAGGCGGCTCTAATCAGCGGCCCGCTTTTGGTCCGCTTTTTGGCCCCCGACTGTCGACCACTTTCCCTCGTCCACCGATGATCAATGCAGAGACTTGATAATCTCCCCCGGCGGCTTTGTACTCGATGGGGGCGATCATTGCAGCTTCTCAGCAGAACAGTGCCGGCAAGGGCTTCATTACCGCGGCAAACCTTGGCGAACCGCACAAATTCTTCTCCATGACTAAACCACAAGGACGATATCACTGAAATCTCCCGTTCAGACGAAAATATCGAATGATAAAGCTGTCAAAACCCGCGGGAACATTTGTAGAGTTGTTCGCAGCTTCGATGTGTCCGAGAACGTGTACCCCCCCGAAGCCATGCCTGCCGCACAATTTTTTTAAGGATCCGCTCCATATGCGCGATATACCGACATCTCCTGAGACATTACTGGGAACGCTTGTCGTGCAACCTTCCCGCCTGTTCCATGCGCTGACGGCAGGAAACGTGGGCCGCACGGCGTTCTCAGCCATGCGCCCATAACGCTGCGGAGTGCTTAAATCCGTACTCTTTTCCTGCGTACAGAGCGATTCTGATGCTGACTGTGGATTCTTGATCGATGGTTTGGTCGCAATATGAAGAGTCTTAAGACCCGCCCACGCGAATATGGGCACAGATTTGGAGGCTACTGATGAATTCGTGCGAAAGTAGCTATCATTCCCCAACAATGAGATGTAATGTAAGACGAGCGCCTAGCAGGACATGAAGCTCATACCAACATATTGTATACCGGCAAAAGTTTTATTGGACGTGCTGCACAGCATTTGCGCCATGCTGTCAGCAATCAGCCTTTGAACACCGAATAAATGTTTGGCTAGCAGCATGCCGTGCTACCATCTGCTTACCGTTACACAAGCTACAAGGTATTTATAATGCGGGGCCCGGAACAGCATCAGCTGATTTTGTCTTTGCCTACATCTCATCCCAGTCGCCTTATCTACTAACGCAGCGTTTACTGAAGGACAAGACGAGCCAAGTCCTCCGGCCAAACTTTTGCCAAACCCGGAGAGTCCATACCTGAGCGCGAAAACGCCTAACGTCAACTGCAGTGCCAAATGACAGACGCTGCAGTGCCCATGGCGGAGCAGCCTTCTTTGGTGACGGAAGGGCTGATCGTCGTCTCTGTCATCTTCCCGCTCCTTTCGCTCGCATCCGTGCTACTGAGATTTAGAGCGAGGCAAGTCTCGAAGCAGAAGTTTGGGGGAGATGATTGGTGGATCATTGCTTCTTGGGTAAGCCTTCTTCGCTAGGAGAAAGACCACTGTAGAGGCTCACACAAACAGGTGACTACTTTTGCCCTGAGTGTGCACGTATGGGTGTTCGCACCAATGATCGGCATCAATGAAGCAAAAACCACCCAGTTTGCGATTACGAAATCACTTCAGGTATGTTACCCACGATTTCAAACGCACAACGGCAAACACTGATGATGCACGATTAGTGCCTTTTCCTCGCCAGCGCAATCGTCCAGATCCCGCTCTCCGCCGTTAAGATATCTATCTTGCTCTTCTATAGACGGATATTTAACGTTGGAATGTTCAGGAAAGTAGTGTTTGGTGTTATTGCGCTTGTTTCGTGCTGGGGCATCATCGTCTTCTTCTGCATGCTGTTTCTGTACGATCCAGTGGATGCGGCCTGGGGCGCGAGCGTAGGAAAACCACGATTCGATCCAGCAATGCTCGGGTACGGCCAGGTTGGCTCTAGTATAGCGCTCGACATTTTGGTGCTTTGCCTGCCAATTCCGCTCATCTACAGACTGCATCTGGACAGGAAGAGGAAGATCGCAGTGATGCTTATCTTCTGGCTCGGCGCATTGTAAGTGAAACAAAAGTATCGCACGGATCGAGATATCTCTGACAAAGAATAGCTGTGTCGTTGCTGCCATTGTGCGATTCATCTTGCTGCACCAGACCTTGGACGCGGTGCTCAGTTCGGCTGGCAACGGCGCAGTTCGTAGGTATGCCCGTGGAAAATAGCTAGAAATCACTAGGCTAACGCATGTAGACTTGCAATCGAAAAACTTCATCTTCATGCTCATTGAGCCGAACTGCTCCGTCATTGCGGCATGTCTGCCCTGCTACGGACCGCTGTTGCGAAATGGACGGTCACAAATGTCGCTTGTCCACAGCGTGCGGTCCTTGTTTTCGTTGCGCAGCCAGGCGAGCAGTGTCAACGGTGAATACGGGCGGTATGGCAGCAAAGGCGACGGGTCACTCGATGCACGCTCTGCGACCGACTCTCATATTGAGCTCAAGGCTCATGATGGCCAGTCCACTGCTATCGTGGAGCGCTACTCGCAACAATCGGATGCGGAGAGGGGTGAAGTACAATCCGGTGGGATTAACGTGACGAGCGACGTCCGTGTTGTACGTAGCTAAGATCACGCTCGGAGTTGACGGACGGTGCGCAGGAAGATTTAGAGCGTCGATGTTGCTGGTATCTATGTATGTCGCGCTAGACCCGAAGCGTAAATAAGGCGAAGATACTAGTCGAGGCCAGGAGAGTCGAGGACATTTCAAAACTCGGTAATTACCGTCACTTGCGAGATATAAGTCTGTCACTTTGGCCAGTTCCTGGAATACTTATGTAGCACCATTGTCCGCTCAATCCCAGGGGATGCTCGCATGAAAATCCGTACTGCCCTTTTGTGCTACGTGAACCGGGTAAAGTGAGCACGCGCGCATGCACGCTGCACCACACTCTATGCAATGCTTACATACCTATGCTTTCACCTCTCGGACCCCGAGCGGGTGCTCCTGCAGTAGCCTTGATTGCCTTGTTGTGAGGGGCTGCTGACTTGCCAAACGGTACGGGTAGGCAGTGGACCCTGCGCCGCCCACGCCGCATGAGCTACACGCGCTCTCTATTTGATTGAAAGGCTCACCCACCGCCGAACTTGCTACTTGTTTCCTCATTATCAACTGCAAGCTCCCACAGCATCTATCCTACCCACCATGCAGCCCATCAAAGTTCACGTCATTCGTAAGAACCGGACTTGCACTGTGAGCATTGAAAGGTACTAACTATTTGCTAGCTGCGGGTCCGAATCCGTGGAAGCCCATTCTGGTCCTTGAGGAGCTTGGTGTGCCATATGAGATCAATTCCTTTGGCTTTGAGGTTGTCAAGCAGAAGCCTTTCACCGACATCAACCCAAACGGTCGTGCACCCGGTATGTCATCGTCAATTATCTCAGCTCAAAGCTCACCCTAATCACATACTACAGCCATTAAGGACCCGAACACCGGCATCACTCTATGGGAGACTGGCGCGATCATCCAGTACATCATTGAGCAGTATGACACCAAGCACGTGCTCAGCTACGACACCCTGAAGGAGAAGCACCTCTGCAACCAATGGCTCGCTTTCCAGATAAGCGGCCAGGGTCCCTACTTCGGCCAGGCGGGCTGGTTCAACGTTCTTCACCCCGAGAAGCTCCCATCGGCCATCACCCGCTACAACGACGAGCTGAAGCGCATCTTGGGCGTTCTCGATGGCGCTCTTACTGGCAAGCAGTGGCTCGTAGGCGACAAGATGACCTTCGCCGATCTGTCCTTCGTCACTTGGAATGACCGCATCGACAGCCTGATCGTGTGCGCGCCTGACAAGAAGTTTGAAGGCTTTCCCAACGTACAGGCATGGCACGAGCGTATGACGGGTCGCGCTGCATGGAAGAACATTATGAAGAAGCGGGATCAGTTGATGGATGATCAGGGCTTGCAGCCAAATGGCATGCCCAAAGGCATCAACTCTTTTGAGGAGTACGAGGCTATGATCAAGGCGAACTCGAAGGCATAGAGGTAGTGGCTACGTCGCGTGCACCACGAAGTTACCAGATTTTTGTGGGATGCAGGAAGAGACATCAGCTGTCGGGGACACGAATCGTACTGAGACACCTTCCCAGAACGGGTCGGAGACGAGAAGTGCAAATGCATACGGAAGCTACAGACCATGAAGTGGTAAAGTGGTCAGCGAACTTCGCGGTAGTAATGGGCCAAAAAATGAAGATATGAGCGATCAAAATGTGCCCTGAATGCGCTACCCAGTGAGCGGTGGTACAACAGCCTAATTGTTTAGCGATACATGCTTCGAACCTCTCATCTTTGCACTCCAGATCTTGACCACTCTCACTGCGATGTCCTCCACTCGTTTACTATGTGTTAACATGTAAGCGACATCGTAGGAATTTCCATGGCAACTGATGGTGATGCGCGCATCTTATCAGTGTGTCAGCTCCCAAGGTCGGCAATGTCGACAGCGATTTTGGGGTGCGCGACATTTAGTATGGCGATGGAAAGCTGACTTAAGTGCAAAAGCACAGGTGGCGATGAAGACGGCCGAAAGCGTGCGTGTGCACTTCCGATCCCAGAACTTACCATGGTGGTGGGTTACTCAACATACGGCGGCTGTTAGTGACGCAAGTCAGCTGCAGATGAGGTTAAAGCCGGTAGTATCACACGTGCGGTTAAAGAATCTTAAGAAAGCAAAGAGTAGGTTACTTCAGTAGAACTAATGTTTTGTCTCAAGAAACCCGCTACCTGGGCAATACTCTGCTTGATCATAGGTAAGTCTCAAGTGGTAGTAAAACATCAAATACAGCACCCACAGAAGTACAACCCTCCTTGTACTTCGACCTTTTGAAGTAACGCCACGCAAGAGTGACGCCAGGTCCATCGGTGCTCACATGAAATAGCAGCAGGCTTTAGCCTCCGCCGCGCAAAGCGAATGTGATATATCCAATCTCAGCAAGTGAGTTCAGCGACTGCACAAATTTGATGACATCTTCTGTCCAGAAGAGCTGTATAAACCATAAACGGCTCCGGGTATCAAGTAGTTTTGCTGCGCGGCCAAAAACGAAATGCTTCCAGCCTGGAATCTAGAAGATCGAGAATGGTGTAGTTGAGATGCATGTAAAGCTTTGGTAAATGTCTTGGCAAGCCAAATAGCGAGTTTGGGGCCCTAGAAATGCCTGGTTAGTTGCAAGGCAGCGAACAATTGAACAGGAGCTTCGACATGGCTGAGTGTATTCTTGAAGACTGTGCAAAAGATCCCACGTAACTCGAGCCCAGACGTGTCGCTCTTCGAACGATATGTTAAATAAAATTTACATACACTCAATGCGTCTATGTCGGTTTATGCTATTTTCGATCTGTTTTACTCCTACCTTCCGCTTGATCAAGTCGATGTAATGCGCGAACAGGCTATTACAGACTTTGAGAGTCAATAAGAAAACGGGTGTAGTGGGAACTCATTTATCCAGCTGTACGCAAAAGGGTACAACTAACACCCTTAATGGCTTTTGTTTTGTGAAGAATCCGTTCATCCAAGAAAGATGGATTCAATAACCCTGATGGAACCTTCTTGGTCGTTTCCAATGAACTTCCGCATTGTATAATCCCAAAGCGCCTTATCTGAAGGCTGCACATGTTAAACTTTCAATCTCTGTAAACCCTTCAAAGGCTCGTGGTTTCATGAACGCTCTGGACCATGGGAAGAAGGATGAGATATGCAAAATACACAGCGCAAGTTCGGAATGATAATGATATGCTAGAGGAAGTGTGAAATAGTTGTTACTTTACATGATGTATTTCCTGGAGCTGGCCACGTATGAAATAGATGCACATTCTGAATGGCTCTTTGCAATGAATTAGGCCAGAAGTTCGGGTGGACATTCGATCTTGGAACATGACATCGAATATACCTCTGTGAGACGGGCGCGAGTCGACATGATGGTTGAAGATGCCGATTTGCACGGAGAGATTACTGTACTATACGAATGAAGCAGGTTTTGCATAATAGAATGTGTCTATTTTACGTGCAGATCCATTATTTATGCGGCATTGATCTGTATTTCTGGAATACTAGACTGAGAGCTCCGACAGCAAAAGCACCGAGCACAGCATTCTTCGCAAATCTCTTCGCGACGTGTTTGAAGAAAAAATTCTGCTTTTGCCTCACTCTCTCTACGTGCTCAGCTCTCTTGTTCTTCGTCGGGAAGGGTTCTCTGGGAACCTCACGACCGAGAAATCCACACAGCGGCTCCCAGCCATCCTCCAAGCGAAACTCGAGGAGGCGCTCCGGAGGGACCGCAGCTCTAACTTCAGCATAGTGCCGCCTGTACCGATCTTTAGCAACGCGACGCATTTCATCCACATTCTTGACACCGTAGTACCCCAGCATAATCTTGCGAATCGCCCTACCGCCGTTGAGACCATAAAGCGGACCAAGCACGTTGATGATCAAATCTGCGCGCAGTCCCCACGTTGTGCTGAAGATAGCCTCTTCCATACTCTTGTACCACCCCTCGATGTCGCGCTCCACCAGAATGATCTTTGTCTCAGGGTAGGCCTCGATAAGTTGTGTGGCAAAAAATGATGCCATGTCGGTCACGGCTTCGTATGGGCCAAATATGACGTCCCAGTCGTCGCGCGTGAAAGGCTTACCCGTATAACTTGGTAGTATAGGGAAGAAAGAGTCGCTGGCTTTGCTGAAGAGCTCCCACTCGATCGGCGAGCTGATAGCTTGAATGCCGTGGTGTACACCTTGATATCCCAACATCTCAAGGGCTTGAGCTATCGATGCTGAGCCTAGAGTTTGCATCCAATGTCGTCAGTCTGGTTCCACAGCTGATAGTTGGACACTGAAGAGAACAAGGCCAATGCGTCTATAAACTCACCTGTACGCGTCATCCCCAACGACAGGACCTTTCTCTCTCGTTTCAGACGATCTGCGGTCGAAACTGGTGTCGCCATATTCAGAAACACGTCGCCTTTGCTGACATTCACTATGCTGGGCAACTGGGTTGTAGCACGGCGAATAGAGACGGAAAGCTACTTTGAACATCACTCAACTCCGCCCGCTCAAGTTCAAAGAAACACTGCAATTAAACCATATTACAAGGATTTTGGTATTCGCGACGCATCTGTCCGATTCCCTAGCACGTGGGCGGAGGAGTGGCAGTTTGCTCAATGTCATCAAGGGCTGTGTGAGTATGATCAGCGGCACATTGGGGAAATCTTGCCGAGTTCGAGTTATCTACACTCGGCCACCCTTGCTGGTACGACGGGCCGAAAGGAGTGTCCTCGCTACCAGGGTTCGCAACATAGCTTGCTCCTCCACGGTATCAGCTACCTACATAGGTACCTTTGATCTACTAACCCGCTGGGGTACGTTAGTGCGGCAAAGCTGTTGTTGTCGGAGACAAGATCCGCAATGTTTCGGAGGTTCCTAATCTGTGGTGGAGAGCATGTCAACGGGTGGCTCGTGTACATTTTCTTTCACTCTCGTTCTGGTGGTAGACCGTAGACCGTCGAAAGCAATGCCGAACATGAGATTATGAATTGGCACCTGTAGCTGCGGAACACGCAATACACTTACGTTACACAAGCTGACGTTGTCGCTTCAGGGAATGCACGACATTGCCAGGCTTCTTCCAGCCAGAATGTTTCGGTCCGGCTTGAGTGTGCGGGTTGTTAGCTTACTCTTATCGTTCCATGGTCGATTCTTGACCGCGACTTGGCTGTGAGCTTGGCTGGCTTGTCTTTGAGCTCGGTCTCACTACTGTACTTTGAGCTCGTTAAACATTGTGAGGAACGAGTTTTGAGAGTACACACCCTTAACCAATCCGCGCTCATGACTACGCACGTGGCCAATGACATTGCTGCGAGTCTCTAATAGAAGGGTGATCCTAGTCTCGGCGGTTCTAGTCATGGTCTAGTGAAGTGGATATTGCCGGCCACCTTAGCTTTGTTTGAGAGCTCTAGTGCCGGGACTAAGCAAGTGCACCTCAGGGGTAAGGTTCGGTCATTCAAGATACGTTCACGGTCGACATTTGACCGCTTGTCGTGCGCTACAACATAGCGATGAACATATTGCAAGGATCGCTTCAGGCAAAGTTGCGAGTGTTTCTCGGAACAGTCGTGTGTCTGTGTCTGAACCCGGAAATCCATCAAGCACCAGTGTGCATAATTCAGCTTCAACGAGGACGAGAGTCTTGATAAGTGAAATTGTATAGGGAAAGTACCACAAATATTAGAAAAAAACTTTTTTCAGCATGTACAGCAAAGAGGACTTTCGTCTTTCCCCCTTGCCAATTTCTTTATCGCGACTTTCACGCACTAGTCAACCGCCAACCGCAATCGACACATGACGGCTGATTCTCTAGACACCGGACTTCCGGGACTGCACACAATAGTGAAGTTATGCCAGTCGCGTTCCATGTCAATATCGAGACCCTCAATCGCATCGTACCTTTGAAGTACTCGCACCAACACATAGCCGGCCTCTGTGAGGGCAAACTGCTGCCCTATGCATATACGTGGACCGCCATTAAAGGGAACGTAATTCCAACTCGTCCCCAACCTTTTCTTCTCCCAACGCTCAGGCACAAACTCATCTGCATCTTCGCCCCACAAATCCCTCCGTCGGTGAAGCACATGCGTACTGAAGTTGACCTCCGTGCCCTCTGGGATGAATACCGGCATGGTTCCATCAGGTCCACCGCCAGTTGGAAGCGTCGTGTCCCGTCTTGCGCAGCGCGAATTGAAAGGCACGACCGAATGCAATCGTAGAGTCTCGTTCATAACGTGCTGTAAATATGCACAGCTCTTCAGCTTTTCGAACGTGATCGTGCTACCAGTGGGATTTGAATCTGACCCAAATGCTTCTAGAATGATTTGGCGTAGCTTTCGGTATACACGTGGATGTCGCACAAGGCAGTAAAACACCCAGGATATGAGTGATGCTGTGGTGTCCCTGCCCGCGGCTAGAAGACCTAAGACTTGCTCCCGTACTTCCGCGCGATCGGAACAGCGGGCGCGAAGAGACTCAAGGAAGTCGTACCGAAGTTGAGAGGAGCCTTGATTCCTTGCTTGGTCTGCAGAGTCAATGGCGCAATCGACAAAGCTGTGAAGCGTTGTGATGCACTTTTTCAGGTCTTTATTTCCGTACAGCCAGTACAGGCTTCGCAATCGCATTCTGGTCCCTAAAATGGCGAGCATACGCTCGAAAGCATGGTGGAAACTGTCTTCTTCGTGTTGGTCCTTTCCGTCTTTGTGCTGCTGTTTGGCGAGGAGCGCCGCGAGGGAATGTGTGCTCTGCCCGAGAAACAGCTCAGTTGCTGAATCCATGGTCAAGCAAGGCAACACCGTAGCCAGGCTCACAGGTGGTGACCATGCTCTTCCCTCACCGTCGATACTGAGTCCCTGTATTTGCCCATGGACGCTTGTTTCAACCGTTCGCAGCATCATTTGCAAGTGTTCCTCAAGCAAGTCCAGTCTAGAAACATTTTCTCGGTTGAAGATGGGCCGCATCATCTCCCGAGCGCCGTGCCATGCCTTGCCATCCACGGCGAAAATGCTACGTCCAAGCGCCGTCTTCAAATTGGTCCTCCTCGCAGATCCCATAATGAAATCATCAAATTGTGTCGCGAGCAGGGCCTGTACGTTCCGCGGGTCCGCCGTGATCAGATTGGAGGTCCCCAACACCGAGATGCCCCAGGTGTACCGACCCATGGCCTCGAAACGCGCAGCTACAAAATCCGGCGTTCGTTGTTCTCTGTCAGCTTGTAGTCCGCGTTTTACCAAGTCTACTCCTAGAGGCCACCGTGTTGGCTCAAAGGGCACAGGACCACAACCGAGGCGGCGAGCTTTGAGATGCAATCGCAAAGGCTTGATTAGAAAAGTGTTGATGATGCGGAGGAGCAACAAAAGTCCTGCCACTAGGGTAACGACTTTGATCTGCATCTTCGATGTGATACTGTTCGAGCGTCTGGCGCAGGCAGAGTGATGCGCAACCATGAACTAATATAGTAACTCTCTCGTTCTCTTGGCCAAGCAGGCATTTACCCCGATAGAGGATTAGGGTGAAATTTTCTTCCTCAGAACCGTTCTGTTCCGGTTTTAGTGGCATTCTTTGCTAGGCACATCGTGGACACATAAGTCGACGAAGAATATGGATAAAGGGCAAACCGGGATGTACCATTACGATATAGATATTTGGGTTTATCGTTTTTGCATGACTTAGATAAGAACGATGATGACTAGGCACCGGGAAGATCCCTGTCCTCCTTCTGCTAACGAGAAAGGGTGAAGAGGTAGCCAAGATGTATTTTGGCACTTTTGCAAGACCAAAAACTATATCGTATAGCAGCGTATACATTCTAGCTTCTTTAAAAACTTTTCGGTATGCTCCTAAAGTGTAGCAGAGACCGTGGTGTATACCAGTGGAGTCACGAATTTGGCTGCTGCCTCGTGCCGTCAATTAGCCGATTGGCGAACTCGTGATGGCACTAATGCACGTTCTCGGATATGGGAGTAAGGTCTACCAACAAAGGAAGTTTTTCCCACACCAAGAAAGTTCCCTGCTTACTCCACCAGTCGTTCTCGGGTTCGTGGAGCTCCCAGTCAAAGAATCGCACCAGTTTCTGCAAGCAGGCGTTAGCAACGTATTTATCCAAAAGTCATAACACCGGCGGAAGACGGGAAACATACCGCCATTGTGAGAGACATCTCAGCATAGGCCATCCTATAAGATTAAACTAGTTAGCAAGTGATTGCTGACAGTTCGCAATATAATTCATGTAACTTACGATCGTCCGAGGCAGGCCCTCTGACCGTACGAAAACGGCTGAACAGAGGAACGGTCATCATTCTGAAACTCCGAACCAGGTTCGTCCAGCCAGCGCTCAGGATGGAACTCACGCGCATACCTGAAATTACGTTCTGAGTGCCCAGCTGACAGCTGATTCACACCAACAGCAAAACCACCAGGGACCCAACGACCCTCAATCATTTCGCCCTTTCCAGGGACGAATCGGGGCAGTGATCCTGGAGTTGGCGGGTAGAGGCGCATGCCCTCGTTGATGCAAGCACGCAGGTATTTACAGCTGGTGACAGCCTGAACCGTCATGTCTGCAGGATCCTGGAACAAGCTGCGAATTTCTTGCTGGAGCTTTGACAATTTCTCCGGGTTGCGCAGGAGTAGATACATCAATCCTGACATGCCACCCGCTGAGGTACCAGAACCTGCTACGCTTGTAACATAGTTAGAGAAGTTTATGCGCAGATAAATAGTATACGAACATAAAGTTGGAAGACAGCATCACGAGCTCGAGATGATTGAGCTTCTCGTCGTTTTCGAGGATGTAGGACCTTCAAAAGTCTGTTGTTAGTGGGCTGTTGAGCATGGTGCGTATAAATGCACAGGACGTGTTCATACTAACATGAAGTCCTTGCCTGGGTTCTTGGCCTCGATCCGCGCCTTCAGCTTGGCCTCTGTCATGGCAATGTGCTTCTTCCTCGACTCTGTCACGTACTTTGGCGTCAACCAGTTTAATAGACCCATCGCTCCGTATTGAACGGCAAGCTGAAACCAGACTATAGCTTTGGCGCGGGCAAGAATCGCAGCGATCCATGGTTGGCTCGGATTGTCAACACAGCCTGAGGATTCACCAAAGGCGAGATCGGAGACAATGTCGAATGCGACAAGATTAAACCAAGTGGTCATATCAAGAGGTCCGTCCTTACACCGTTGCTTCAACTTTTGGATGAGATTATTTGAGTGGTCTTGGAAATAGTTTTCCTGCTCGCGTCTGGGTGGCCAAAGATGTCAGTATGCATGCAATACCCCCAAAACTTAATGTACTCCGTGTTAACAATTACGATGGAAGGCGACCAGATGTACCTGAAGAAATACGCAGAAACTTGCCGTCGCATTCGAAGCCTCGCGACACTGTGTATAGCTTCAGGCTATCAGATGGGCCGCCTGTTGCACCCGGGTTGCTTTCCGTCGTAGATGAGAATCTGTAGCATGGTAGGAAAACTTACAGTGCTTTTTGGCTGAAAGCCGGATCAATCGCCTTTCTCAACCTCAAATGCCTGTCTTGATGCTCTGTCATCAAGCTGCGCTGACCACCAATACTAGCTGGCGCAATGCCCCTTCCATCGAGTGCCTTGGAAAATTCGGGGTTCCGCTGTCCATATATCTTCTTCCACGCGCCCGAAGTCGTGTACGAGAGCTCGTCGGGGGCAATTCGTACAATGGGACCATACTTATCATGAAGCTCGCGTATCTTCCAGCTGATGCGGCCCTTCATGTTGGCATGATTCCATGGGAGGCGTGAGATGGCCCAGAGTTTTGGACCTGGATAGCTTGCCAGCGGGCTCAGATAGAGGTTGTAGATGGCCTTGAGCACAACGTGAAGCAGGACCTGGAAGTTGTTGTCAGCGGTTTCTCGGGTCCGTTCAAAAATGGTGCCGTCTTACAAGCACTGGTATAGTTGTAATGATATTGCGTAACGTGAATGCCTGCCTCAGTTGATGCAAATCCTTTTCCGATAAAATGTCTGCCATGATATCTTAGCACAGCCTACGGACAGGAAACTCAGTCTTAAGCAAATTTGCTCGTAATGATGAGAACTGTTCCGCCGAACTTTGGAGGCAAGAGCCTGTGATGGTCATCTTCGATGCTCCTCCCTGGTCTCGGTCATACCATGGACGATTACCTCGCTTCAACCAATACAAGGAGCCAATGAGGTTTGTATGTTTTGACACGTTATCGCAAGCTGTCGTAACGTCGGTTGCAATAAGTATCTTCCTCTAGAGGCCTTTTTGGAGTCAGGCTTAGTAAACATACAGGCGACGCGTGACGCAGGGCCCTTTCGGTCCTTGCCGATAAGGCAAAATGAAGCTCGGTTGCAACCCCCGCTAGCAGTTCGGTGAAGCTGCCCCGAATAAAACAAGTAACCGGCCCGTTGATAACACGGCCTTTCTCTGGCAGAAATCCGGCAGACTGGTTATGACCGAGAACAATTGTTTACACCACTAATCAGCCAGCTTGGTAGCACGCGGGGTCGGGGCGGAACGCAGCGACTAAGTTTGATACGAACACTGCATTTTCTCTCATCTGCCGAGTCACGCCATGTTCAAAGCTAAGCTTTGCAGATCTCGGGAGGTGGACTGAAGTCAAACTGCGTCCGTGCCCCGGCGGGACCGCGGCTCTGGTTCCCTACTAGCGTTCAGCGAAGTAGCTGAATTAATGCGATATGTGATGTGAGGAGAACAGCTTTCTAGAGCTTGGCTAGAAGCGCCAATTCCGGTGTTCGCGAGCCACCTCCCCACGTGTTGGAAGATCCAGACCTCATTTTGGCTCCGTATGAAACAATCAATGCTACATGATGAGATCAGAAGTGCCGCAGATATTAATGTATTTGCCTATTTTTGACAGGTCTACTATTTCACGACATATTTACACGCCCGTATCCTGGTTGGGTTTGATGAGAGATCAGCAGTGAGAAAGAACTCATCCGAGTAGAAATGATCCTTGGAAGCAACACGCAGGGCATGAATATTTGATACCAAGCGACCGTCATTTCCGAACGTAGACCCTGTTACTTGAGTGAGTCAATCCTGGTGTCGCACACTGCCAATAAACTTGCTCTCGACAAAGTACATTGCTGATGGTGTGTAGGACAACCAGAACACTTCATCCATTCAAAAATCGTAAAAGCCACATCCTAGAATGTCTTTACACGGTGAAGCCCACGAACATTCATTACTTGCTGAAGTGATTCGCGGTGAGCTTCTCAAAAAGCTGTCAAACAAGGCGCGAATTCTTCTACCATTCGATGAGGATAAGAGAGATTTCGACAAGGCCAATCTGCGCTTCACTCAGTATGAACGTCCAACATACCTTGCTGTAGTTGAGCCCAGCTGTGAACAAGACGTAATCAACGCTGTCAACTATGCACGGGAGAAGGGAATTCCATTTACGCCCCGCGGTGGCCATCATGCAGTCACGAGTACGATGAGACACTTCCAAAATGGATTGTGCATCAACATGCGTCCTCTCAACCAGATGCGATGGGATTCCGAGTACCAGCAGATCACGGTTGGTGGAGGGACTCTAACAGACGAATTTGTGCATTTCGCGCACGACTTGGGCATGGAAGTTAGTACGTATATTCAATCCTTCTCTTATGGTGATTTTTTTGACGAGAGCCAAAGACGTAGGGTCATGCCCCACAACAGGTATCATTGGTGTCTCCTTCGGCGCGGGTCTGGGTCGCCTTCAGGGCAAGTATGGGTTTCTCAACGACAACATGGTGTCCTGCAAGCTTGTACTTGCTGATGGAAGTGTGCTTATCGCCTCAAAAGATTCACATGCGGACCTATTTTGGGCCATCCGTGGAGCCGGCCACAACTTCGGCATCGCACTTGAAGCCACATTCCAAGTGTATCCGCAAGCGCATGGTGGTATACACCATACTTGGGACTTAGAGTACACACTAGATCAGTGTGACGAAGTCTTTGATACACTGAACAGTGTTCACGAGACTATGCCCGCTGAACTGGCAATTTTTGTCCTGTGGATGCGTCAGAGTAGTGGTCGCAAGGTAGAGCTAGCCGATAGCCAAGATGCCTACATGCTGACATGTCACAGCACGTCATCCTCGTCAACCTAGTCTGGTCTGGACCAGTAGCGGATGCATCTCCATATATTCAACGCTTCGAGTCTCTTCGCCCTGTTCTTAATAGTGGGTGCACGTCGGTGCCATGGCCGGAGTTACCTTTCTGCACCTACAAAGAGATAAACAAGCTCTACTGCAAGCCTGAGGTATGGCTTCGAGGGCCCTTGAAGATCATGGGCGCCGCATGCGTCGAAAAGTTCGATCTCAGGACAACTCGCGAGTTCTTTGAGAGCGTCAAGGTCATGAGCGAAGAGTGGGAAGACCGCGGCTGGTTCGGTGCTATGTTTGAGTGCCTACCTGACCAGCGCGTGCGGGAAATCCCAAATGATGCGACGGCTTTCCCCTGGCGTGGTGGATCAAATCATTTCTTGTGAGCTGCTTTGTGCCCTGTATCATTGAGCAGGCACTGATCTCAGATATTAGGATGCTGAACGCCACTCCAAAGCGGATCGAAGATCGCGCAATCTTCGAGAACCATCTCGATCACTGGAAGCAACGCTTCGTTGAGACGTCTGGGTACGGACGGCTGCAGCAGTACGTGAACTACGGCAATACTACTTCATCTTTGCAGGATTCGCTCGAGGCACTGTATGGTTACGAGCCATGGAGACTGGAGAAATTGCGACTTCTTAAGCAGAAGTATGACCCTGACAATATGTTTCGATGGTACCAGCCAATCGTGCAGCCATGATCCTAGATATACTGAGGTGTTTACAGTTGCGCTCAAAGCAGATAGTTGTAAATGCAATCAGCAGGCTCGTAACAGAATTCTCATGATTGTGACCTATTCCAACTGCCTATGGAAAATAAACGAATTGCAAACTTTTGCTGCGCAGTGGAAGACCATACGCATGGACCCCATAAACAACGAGATACACCTCGCGTATGAGGACGATCCAGTGCCTCAGCCTTCATTTGGTGCATCACGGGGGAAATTTCTCTAGTTTGCGATGCGCTCGCGCTCGGTTCCCGATCGGAGGCCCATGAGTCGCAACGTGGAGCATGATCTGACGCTACCTGCATCACCCGAGACGAGGTCACGAGGCTCAAAATTGTCCGAAGATGCAGCGCATTTGGTGGAAGTATTGTGGGGTGTACGCTAAACATGATCTTCTCGCTTTTCGTCGTCTCCACCAATTAGATCGGTACCTGGTACCACCCTGGAACTTTCAAATCTCCGTCACATAGGAAGTAGTCGGAATGGCATTGGCCCAGGGGCTGTCCGCCTAAGAAATGAACACGATGGCACGGTTTATTGCCCTATTGGTGCTGTTCAGTTCTCTTGATAGGAAGATTTGGAATATCCGCCTAGGTGACTATCCAGCCATCCAAGGTTCCTGGATCTCAACCCACTTGTCCCGCCATTAAATTGCGCTATTGACCCGATCCTGACCTGATACGAAGCTCCCGTATACGACAACAGGGAGGTCTGGCTAAAGCTCGGCGATCTTCGCTTTGGTACGGTGCAAAGTGTAGGTATGGATCGCGAACATGTATCCTCCGGGCTTGGCGACAGCCAACTCTGGCTCTCGCCTAAGAACATGGGCGGTGGTATTGACAACCCCCAAATAAGTGGTTCTGGTGGTAAACCGGCCGAATGGTTGAAGAAAAGCAGTTATGCGTGCTCAAACGTCGAGTTAGCATTGGACGCTCCATTCATGTTTTTGAGCCGACTAGAGGCCGATTCTATGCCTGCCGTTGACGTAGTTTAGGCTCCAAGTGGATGTTGTATACGACTATGAAGCGAAAGTCATGCGGCACGTAGACACCATTGAAGAATACCGCTCGGACTAGAGTAAGAGCATTTGTATCTGCCGTTTCTTGTACAAGGTTGCAGGAGCTTATCTTGTCATATTTATGGCCCCAAAACGCCATTCATCTCGCAAAACTTTTGTACATTGCACAACTTCCAATCATGCCTTCTACTATAGAACTGCCCACGAGAAAGCCGATTGCTATTATTGGCATCGCATTCAGAGGACCTGGAGATGCTCGAGACCCTGAGTCATTCTACCGTATGCTCATTGAGGGTCGCAGTGCAAGATCAGAGATCCCGAAAGATCGTTACAACGTCGACGCTTTTTATCACCCTGACCCAGAGCGACTGGGTAGTATTCAACAAAGGTGAGATCAGCACACCTTCTTTACTGGCTAAATTACTTGACAGATCTAACTGGAGATTGCAACAGACATGCACACTTCCTGCAACAGGACTTCAAAGTGTTTGATGCTCCATTCTTTAGCATTACACCGAAGGAGGCGAAAGCAATGGATCCGACTCATCGGATGTTGTTGGAAGCAACGTACGAAGGTTTCGAAAATGGTACGTCCCTTCGACTTCCTCGGAGGAGATGTGGACTCGTTCTGACTATCATCAATAGCTGGATTGAGCTTGGAGAAGGTATCGGGATCCCAAACTTCATGCTACATCGGCACCTTCACAGCAGACTTCCCCAATCTGCAAGCTCGCGACAATGAAGGACCTTCGATATACCGTAAGTGACAAATATGAGTCTCGCCCCCAACTGAGGGGGCGCACATCGTCGACGCTGTGCTGATATTCACGTATAGATGCGACTGGCATGTCATCTTCATTGGCATCCAATCGACTGTCCTGGTATTACAATCTCAAAGGTCCATCCTTGACTGTGGATACTGCATGGCAAGTTGCTGTGGTACATCAGATGTCACACGCTGTTGACTAACTTTCGGTAGCTCGTCAAGTCTGACTGCATTCCACTTAGCCTGCCAAAGTATTCGCACAGGAGAAGCTGAGATGGTATGTCCAAACCAACAAACTAATGGGTTTCGCTGAAAATGTTTGTATAGAGTGTGGTCGGAGGAGCCAACCTCATGTTCGGGCCGGACATGTCTATTCTTTTGGGAGCTGCAAAGATTCTGTCACCGGAAGGCAAGAGCAAAATGTGGGACGCAAACGCTGATGGTTTTGCCCGCGGAGAAGGCTTCGGCGTCACTATCCTGAAGGTCAGTCTTCCCCAGATCAACGTCTAGGTGTGGAAATCCCCATTCGACTGACCATATCGCAGCCTCTGGATGCAGCATTGCGCGATGGCGACACCATTCGAGCCGTTGTATTGGCTACTGCTACTAATGAAGACGGGCATACCCCTGGTATCTCGCTGCCCAATAGTGAAGCGCAACAGGATTTGATCCGAAGGGCCTACGAGATGGCAGGTGTGAATCCGGCAGAGACAGGCTACGTTGAGGCCCACGGTACGGGAACGCAAGCTGGTGAGTGACATAGAAGTACAGCGCAAAAAGTGTCAGGTGCTGACCAGATATGCACAGGTGATCCATTAGAAGCTCGCGCTATTCTCAACACAGTTGGCGCGGTCGAGGGTCGCAAATCAGACCTGTATGTTGGCTCCGTTAAGACAAACATTGGTCACCTTGAGGGTGCAGCAGGGGTGGCCGGAGTAATTAAGGCTGCATTGGCAGTTGAGCGCGGTTTAATACCCCAGAATCTATGGTGAGCAAACCGATCCGAACTCTGTCTCGACGGGCATGCATTTACATTAGTCAGGTTTGAGAAGCTGAATCCAGAGATTGATCTTCCGAGAAACGTCAAGATACCACTCGAACTGACACCGTGGCCGCACAGCGGACCTCGTCGTGCAAGTATCAATTCATTTGGTTTCGGAGGCGCGAAGTACGTAAACTGTATGACCAATTTCATGTGAGACATAAACTGACTTTGTACTCTGACATCTAGTGCACACGTCATTCTTGAGGACGCAGCATCCTTTCTGTCACGCTACGATCTAGGGGGAAATCATGCCACTACAGTGCATCATGATGATGGAGAAAGTTTGCATGACGTCTACTGCAGTGAGGGTTCAAGCAGCCTTCCCAGCACGCCTCGTGGAGAAACCACTAGCGGCGAGCACAGCGAGGCGACAAGCGATGCATCGAGCGAAATCCTACGTGAGACTTATCCCACGCCGAGATTGTTTGTTCTGTCTTCGAATGACCAGAACGGCGTGAAGCGCAATGTTGAGCGCTTACAGAGCTATCTCGCTTCCAGGACCTCCACTACTCCCTCTTTCCTCAACGACCTAGCATTTACACTGAACTCGAAGAGGACAACACTACCATGGAAATCTTACGCTGTTTCCAGCGGTCTTAGCAACCTGCAGGAACAGCTTTCAAGTCTTGCTCCTGCAGTCCGCTCTTCCAACTCAACTGTACCACGAGTTGCATTTGCTTTCACTGGGCAGGGTGCGCAATGGCACGCTATGGGAAAGGGTCTTTCCATTTATACGGCGTTTGCAAAAAGCATGCAACGCTCTGAGGTTCTGCTAAAGTCATTTGGCTGCCCATGGAACCTTGCCGAGGAACTGAGTCGCACCGAGGCTGAGTGCAAGCTCCGTGAGACCGACTACAGCCAGCCAGCATGCACAGCCATTCAAATTGCTCTTGTAGATCTCTTGAATGAGTTTGGTGTACGCCCCGTTGCTGTCCTTGGCCACTCCAGCGGCGAGATCGCCGCTGCGTATACTGCTGGCTTCATTGACCACGAGGCTGCAATCAAAATTGCTTGGCTAAGAGGACAGGTCAGCAAGACGGTGTCTAAGAATGGCGGAATGTTAGCAGTTTCTGCAAGTTCCGACAGCATACAGCATCACCTGGAGTCTTTGAAGTGCGGCAGGGCCATTGTTGGATGCTTGAACTCGACCAAAGCTTGCACGGTCACTGGCGATGCTACCGCCGTTGAAGAGCTACAGAAAGTGTTGAAAGAAGCTCAGGTAGCATGTACTCGACTACCCATGGACGTTGCATACCATTCTTTCCACATGGAATCTGCACGGGACAGGTACGAGAAGGCCTTGGAGGGTATCCCGCATGGGATAACATCTACCATTCCCATGTTCTCCTCGGTGACAGGCAATATCGTCGCTGCCACGCAAATGAAGCCATTCTACTGGGTCGACAATCTGGTATCTCCAGTTAACTTCGTTGGCGCTGCCCGGTCTCTTCTACGCCACCAGGCCAATTCACGCAGAGCCTTTGCAAACTTGTTCGTCGAGATCGGCCCTCACTCAGCACTGCGAAGTTACCTTCTGGACATTTTCAGCGGTGAAGACTGCGCCGCGGATCTGAAGTACACCACGATTCTTCGTCGCAAATTCGATGGCGCAACTACTACGCTTGAAGCCATCGGCCAGCTCTGGTCTCAAGGATGCGCTGTTGATTTCCAAAAGGTTAATGCAACATCTCGGGAAGATGCCAAGATGCTGGTAGACTTGCCTCCGTATGCCTGGAACCACAAGTCCTACTGGGACGAGTCGCATCTGAGCCGGCAACACCGTATGCGCCCTTCACCACGTACTGATCTCGTGGGTTATCGCCTTAATGGAACCCCGGAGCATACATGGCGCAACTTCTTGAGGTGCAACGAGAATCCCTGGATCCGTGAGCACAAAGTCCAGGGCGACATTCTCTACCCTGGTGCAGGCATGCTTGTAATGGCAATCGAGGCGATGCATGAACTGGCGCAGGAGACGAGCGCCGATGAAGTCTATGGCTTCGAACTTCGCGACGTTAGTATCGACTCAGCGCTAAGGGTACCTGACACGGAGAAGGGTATTGAGGTCATGACGCAGCTGCACAATCGTCGCACCGGAACGCGAGCTGCGGTATCGTCGACACTCTACGAGTTCACAATCTCGTCGTGGAGTGAAGAGATGAGTTCTTGGAATGCTCATGCTTCTGGTCTGATCTCTGCCACATTCAAACCCTTCTCTCCATCTATGGGCGCTGAAGTGGCACTGAGCAATGAGCGTTACGTCTGTTCCATCGCAGAGGCCAGAAAAGTCTGCCAGACACCAGCCCGGAGTTTCCTCTACGACACGGTCGAGACGATTGGCATGAAGTATGGCCCCATCTTTCGCAATATGACCGAGCTATCTGCCGGGAAAAATGCCAGTTACGGTGTCATAAAAGTGCCGGATACCAAGGCAATCATGCCTAGGCAGTTTGAGTACCCGTACATCATTCATCCTGCCACACTCGACTCAGTTCTTCACCTCCTCTTCCCCAGCATCTCCGGCGAAGATCAAGCACTTAGCGAGGCGGTCGTCCCAAAATCTTTCGACCGCGTCTTTGTGTCAGCCAATGTATCGAAGACGGCCGGCACAGAGCTTCAAGGGTGCTCTACGGCAAAGAAACTGAGTTACACCACTTGGATTTCCAATATCACTATGTCAGATGCAGCAATGTCGGAGCCCACCATCATCATGGAGGGACTCGTTCTGGCGTCTGTTGGATCGACAGAAACTGCATCTCAGCAGTTAGAGACACGGGCCTCATGCTTCACACAAAATTGGCATCTTGATGCTGACCTGCTGGAACCATCTCAGCTCAAGGACATCATCTACAAGCGCACCTTGAAGAGCAAGGACGATGAATCGGTGCTCGACAAGCTCGAATTCGTCTGCCTGGTGTACATTTACCGCATTCTAGCCTGGTTCGAGAGCGCTGAGGGCAAGGCTCACGTGCCGCAAGACGGCTTCTGGAAGTCTTATGTCGAATGGATGCACGAAACTGTGAATCAATTTCCACCGCTACCAGCGGATGTTGACACCGAGATGCAGCGAGCCCGGGAGCGCATCGTCAAGTCGGAGAGTGGTGATATCACGGTGCAGATGGTCGACCGCATCGGGCAGAACCTCTCTCGCATCTTCGCGCACGAGGTGGAGGCTCTGCAGTGCATGACCGAGGGCGATCTCCTCTATTCCTTCTACCGTGGGGCCTTTGGCACCAGCTTCAACACGAATGTGGCCGAGTACGTCGGCCTGATTGCCGACAAGCGACCTGGACTGCGTATCCTAGAGATTGGCGCTGGGACGGGCGGCACCACTTACCATGTCCTGGAACGCCTGCGCAACCCCGACGGTAGCTCCAAGGCTGCGCAATACTTCTTTACGGACATCTCTCCTGGATTCCTTGCCAAGGCGGCTGATCGATTTGATGTGGATGCATCCATCATGCAGTTTGGCACTCTGAATGTAGAGAACGATCCCGCGGAGCAAGGATTCAACCCTGAGTCCTTTGATCTTATCGTGTGCGCCAACGTACTTCACGCGACGAAGAGCATACAAGAGACCCTAGCGCATTGCAAATCGCTGCTGAAGCCTGGTGGCCGTCTCGTCTTGTCCGAAGTTACTATCAAGCGCATCTTCTCGGGCTTCATCATGGGCCCTCTGCCAGGCTGGTGGCTAGGAGAGGCAGATGGCAGGTACGGAGGCCCGCTTCTAGACGTGGAAGAGTGGAAAATCGCGTTGACCATGGCTGGATTTTCCGGCGTTGATGTTGATATCCGCGGTGACAGAGACACCTCGAAGGAGCCCGTCTCGTTGATCATCTCAACAAAGCCTGAAACAAGAGCCTCCACTCTACCTTCCTGCCTTATCATCACTCCCGGCACCGAATTGTCCGACAAGCTTGCAAGTGCAATCCAGGAGGCATTCGTCTTTGCTGGTCACGCGGCCAGTATTGCTCAGTGGAATGAGGTTACCAAGGCGCATGTGGAGGGAAAGTATTGCCTCTGCTTGGCTGAATGGGAAAATGCTATTCTCGCCAATCTTACCGACGAAGACTGGGGCAGAGTACGCGAGGTTGTGCTTTCTTCAAAAGGCGCATTGTGGATCACTGGAGGCGCTACCTTCAATACGCCACATCCCATGAAGAGCTTGATGGTGGGACTCGCAAGAGCCATTCGAAACGAAGACGCCGGAGTCCGCCTCGCATGCCTCGACTTGGATTCTCCAGCGACAATTGATATGGAATTAGCATCGCAGACCGCGCTCAAGGTCGCTCGTGCATATTTCCGCGGAGACGGCACTGAGGGTGAGTTCACTGCACGTGGAGATCTGGTCTATGTACCGCGCGTCGAACGGACACTAGACGTCGATACATCACTACGAAAATACGAGGCCAAGGGCGAGCCCGAGATGGTGTCCTTCAGGGGCTGCGGACGTCCCCTCAAACTGACAATCAAGACTCCTGGTCTACTCGACACTTTCCAGTGGGAAGAGGATGAGACGTACCACACACCAATACACGAGGACTGGATCGAGATTGAGGTGAAGGCCGTCGGTCTCAACTTCAAGGACGTGCTGGTTGCGCTGGGAAACCTGGCTGAGGACAAGTTGGGCGTCGATGCTTCAGGCACTGTCACTCGTGTCGGATCTGCCGTCACAGACTTCAAGGTTGGAGACCGGGTGATGACCGCATCCTGCGACACCTTCGCCACCTACGTCCGCTTTCCAGCCAAAGGCGCCATATCGGTGCCTGCAGGCATGAGCTATGAAGAAGCTGCGTCAATGCCCCTCATCTTCCTCACTGCTTACTACGCGTTGGTGACCGCAGGCGGTCTTATCGCTGGCGAGAAGATTTTGATCCACGCAGCGGCTGGTGGTGTCGGACAAGCTGCCATCATGATTGCGCAAGCCAAAGGCGCCCAGATTTTCGCTACTGTTGGCGCGGAAAGCAAGAAGCAGCTTCTTGTCGAACAATATGGTATTCCTGAGAATCGAATCTTCAGCAGCCGTGATACCAGCTTTGTCAAGGGAGTGTTACGTGCGACGGGTGGCCAGGGTGTGGACGTTATCCTCAACTCCTTAGCCGGCGAAGCCCTCCGCCTGTCATGGACCGATTGTCTGGCTAAATTCGGTCGATTTTTGGAAATTGGAAAGGCCGATCTTTTCGCCAACACCGGTCTCGACATGAAACCTTTGCTAGACAACAAGAGCTACATCGGTGTCAACCTGCTCGACTTTGAGAACAACCCAACACCGCGAGCGGTGTCACTCTGGCAAGAGACAACCAAGATGATTCACGAAGGTGTCATCAAACCTGTCGCACCGCTCCAGATCTTCACCATGGCTGAAGTCGAAAAGGCGTTCCGTCACATGCAGGCCGGCAAGCACATGGGCAAAGTCGTCGTTCGGGTTGACGACGCAGATCTTGTCCGTGTAGTGCCCCGAGTTCCCCGAGTGAGCATCTGTCCCGACGCGACGTACGTACTCGCCGGACTGGGGGGTATCACTCGTGAGATTGCGCGCTGGTTAGCTGCAAAGGGTGCAAGGAACCTCGTACTCATCTCTCGCTCGGCAGCTAGCAGCGCGGACAACAGAGCCTTCGCTACGCAACTGAAGAAGACGTACAACGTCACGCCGCTGGCCTATGACTGCGATGTTGGCAGCAAGGCTGCTCTGCAGGAAGTCCTCAACGATCTCAGAGCCAAAGGTTTGCCACCCATCAAAGGATGTGCGACTGGCGCCATGGTCCTGCAAGACTGTCTCTTCGATAAGATGACCGCAGCCAGCGTCCGTAGGACTGTAGGTCCCAAGGTCCACGGTACCTGGAATCTGCACGAACTTCTACCACGCGACATGGACTTCTTTGTGATGCTGTCCTCACTAGCCGGCGTTATGGGTCATCGCGGACAGGGCAATTACGGGTGCGGCAACAACTTCCAGGACGAATTTGCAGCATTTCGGCGCAGTCAGGGTCTCCCCGCGATGACGATCGATATCGGCTATCTCCTGTCAGTCGGATTTGTCGCTGAACATGATGAGTACGTTGACCACGTCAAGGCCATGGGGCTTAAAGTCATGCACACATCCGACCTACATGGCTTGCTCGCAACTGCCATCGAAGGCCCCGCGCACCACCCGGCCCAGGTAATGTGCGGGCTGCCATTCAACGAGCATGACGATGCCTGGTACTGGATGGCCGATGCGCGGTTCGCGGCTCTGCGCAATGTCGCTGCCGGTTCCTCTGCGAAAGCCGGACAGACCATCTCATTGCGCGAGGAGCTGACGCGATGTGCGACCGTCAGCGAAGAGGCCGTGCAACTCATCACGGCGGCCATTGTGCAAAGGCTTGCGAGCCTAATGATGACGCCTGAGGCCGACATTGATGCCGGCAGGCCGCTGAGTGCATATGGTGTTGACAGTTTGGTGGCTGTGGAAGTTAGGAATTGGATCGCTCGCGAGGTTGCGGTTGAGTGCTCGGTGTTCGACGTAATGCAAAATGTGCCGATAATGCAGTTAGCGCAGAATCTTGCAGAGAAGAGTAAGTTACTAAGTAGAGAATCTTAGCCTAATATTTAGTTACTTTATTTATTTATTCTAGATATAAATATAAAGTAGAGGTATTATTAAGAAATAAGCTAGACTAAAAGAAGATAGTAACTGCTTTCTACTATTAACGTGCCTATGCGCGACGCGATTAGAGTTGCGTAATAATTACTAAACACTATATAGATTATCTTAAAAATAAGGCTATAATAACGCGTACGATAGCTATTATTATAAGATTTCTTAGTAGTTTAGTAAATAAGACCTTGCAATTATTTTATACTATTTAAATTTACTTAAGAGCTTAACATTATAGCTATGTAACGTTACCTAGAGTAATAGAGAAGATAGAGTAAGTAAAACTTAAATACTACCTATAGTATCTCTAACGCATTTCTAATACTTCTTCTTAGAAGAGACTGCTTATAAAGCTTTACGCTTACTATAGAGACGTAATATAGATTAAGGTTATACTTTTTTTCTTAATTTTTTTAACTTTTTATATAATTTCTAGAATATTTAGCTCTTATAGAGTATTAAAATATATAATAAAGCTTACTATATTTAATAAAGTCTTTAGTAAATTACTAATAAAAGTTATATATTTTTAGTAATACTAAGAAAAGTTTATTAACCTAGGTTAATAAAAAGAATTTCTTATAAGTATATAATCTACTCTATATAATAATATAGTATATAAAGAAATAGATATTATACTATAATACTCTATAGAACTAAAGATTATATGCTTAAACTATTAGTATTCTAATACTATCTTTATAAGTAATATTTTACTACTCTTTTTATAAGTTAATTTATACTACTCTTCTTATAAGTTAATTTATACTATTCTTTTTATAACTAAACTTATAGTATCTTATTTATAAATAATTTTCTAATACTCTATAGTGTACTAAGAATCTTAGTTACTCTTAGAGTACTTAAAGTTTGCCTTAGAGAAAATTATAACGTCTAGAGATAGAGTATAATCTTAATAACTTATATTCTATACTATTCTAGAGCTTAAAATTTTAATAGCAAGTAGGTTATATATATATCTATCTATATATAAATTTTTAGATTAATATCACTACTATAGCGTAGTGCATTAATAGTATTATAGAATATTAGAGATAGCTAATTAGAGTTCTGTTAATAAGCAAGAGTTATTCTATTAACACTCTAATAAACTTTTATTCTATTAATATTCTAATAAACTTTTATTAACATTAATACTCTAATAAATCTATATTAACGTTAATACTCTAATAAACTTCTATTAACGTTAATACTCTTATAAATCTATGTTAATATTAACACTCTAATAAACTTCTTATCGCAGTATTAATACACGAGAACAGTAAAGTACTAATCTACGTAACTAAGCTAACTAAGCTTAGGAAGTAGACTAACGTTTCTCTATAATCTGTTTGTATATTTAAGCTAGCTCTTCTAATATATTAGAAGAGCAGTAATTAATATAATCTTTTCTCTTAAGTTTACTTAGCTACAACAGTTATAAGCCTAGCGCTATAGGATTATAGAGTTAATTCTCTACTATATATCTTGTATTTACTAAGTACTTAAATTAATTATTCTACTACTCTTATTTCTCTTAAACCTCTTAAATTATCCTAATAATATTAGTCTAAATAGACTAAATAGACTAGATAAAACTTTCTTTTACTGTTACTCTTTAAGCTTATAAAGACTAGCTAGCATAGTATATTTAGCTTAAAGTGCACGCTATTAGAAAGCAAGTATAGAACTATATTAATCTAGATAGCCTATCGCAACCTAATCTTCTTAATAACGCTTCTCTATATCTAGAATTATCTACTAAGCTAGTTAAGCTAAAGAATCCTTCTATTAGAGCTACTAATAAAGCAAAAGCTAATTATAAAAAAGTCTTTATAAGAATATATTAAAGATATTAAAGCTTATAAAGTTTTATTGAGCTAACTATAACAAGAGAGTCTAATAATAGAAAGTTCTTACTGCTAAATAGTCTTAAAAAGCTGCTGCACTTATAAATCTTTAAGACTAGATTATAAAAATAGTCTTACTAGACCTTCTTAAGCCTATTTAGATTAGGCTTTTCTAGATAGATAACTTAAGCCTCTAATTATAACTTAAACTACTTAAAGATTAGCTAGCTCTAAGTAAGGCTATAACTTAGAATTAAATTAAATAAGAGTACTAAGCTTACCTAGATAAAGCTAAGCATAGCAGAATTAGACTAGAGAAGTAGTTTAATAAATAGTAAACTCTCTATGCCTAAGCCTAGACGTATAACGTTCTAGAGGTTAAAGAGACTATTGCTCTTACTACACTTTCTTAAGGTAATTATAGCAAAATACGCTCTAGAATAGGCCTAATAGAAATAAGCAGAAGTTATAGAAAGGGTATCTCTAGGAAAGAACAATCTAATACTAGATAATATTGCTATAGTATTTAACGCTATACTAACTAAGTAATCTAGAAGCGCAGAAAAGAGAAAGAGACTATTAATCTTTGCAGTACTAACTCTAAATAAGCAAACTGCTTAGAGTAGCTTAACTAGAAAAACTAAAAAAGGCCTAAAAGTATACCTATGCATTAAACTAAATCCTTAAAAGCTTTAATTAGATAAGTTTTATTGCTAGAAACTATATTAACTGCCTTAAGCTTTAAATAGTAGTAATAGAATTAGCCTCTAGTAATCTAATTAAGCTTAATAATATAGATAAGAAAAAGATCTTAGAATAGTATAATAAGCCTAAATAGTAAGATCTCTATAAATAGATTAAAAAGTTAGGTTAGTCTACTACTCTAAGAAAGAAAAGATTAGATAAAGATTACTCTATTGCTATTTAAGCAAGCTTAATTAATCTAACTCTCTTTATAAAGAAGTTACTAGAGGTCTATAGCACTACTTTTAATTAGCACTTACTATATTAATCTATAATTCTTAATAGTAGAGCATGCGTTTACTTAGTAAATAATTGCAGTCTAATTAAAAAGAGAACGTTTATTAAGGCTATAAATAGAGAGTGCATTAAGATAGGAACCTAATACTTATCTATTAATAATATTAGTACTTAGATTATAAGAAACTTAATAATTAGACTAAATAGGCTATATACAGTAGACCTTATACTTACTAATATAAAGGTCGTTAAGGGTTGTCTACCTTAATATTATCTTAGAAGCAAGACTTTAAGATTAAGGAAACGTCTAGTATACTAGTTAGAATTAAACTCTCTAATATAGTAACCTATCTAAGAATAAGTTACTCTATACGCTTATTAAGAAGTATAACCTTAACTTCTTAGAATTAATTAAGTCTTCTTATTCTCTAGTCTTTACTATTATAAAAGCTATGCTAAGATTATATTATCTATAAAATAGAAGTAGTAATAAGTAAATATAGCACTAATAATTAGGTTATCTTAGATAGAAGGCACTATAGGCTCTAACTAGATATATGCAAAACGTTAAAATTACTAGTATTAGAAGGATTAATTATAAATATTATGTAATAGCATACGCCTTATAGGTAATCTTAAGAAGACTAAAAGAGAGATTATCTTAACTCTTCTATTAGATCTTATAGGACCTATTTAATATGCATTTAGAATAATTAGAAGAGTAATAGTTATTACTAATAAAGAATAATTATTCTAGAAAGATTAAGAATAATAATCTTCTATTAAAATTACTGCTTAAGATTATAAAAGTTATTAAAAGGTACTACTAGAGAGTAAGAATAAAATATAATCTTTTAATTATAGAGATATACTAAGATAGTAATTAGGCAACGTAACTATAGAGAGAATAATTAAGATTTAAGAAATAGGCAGATAAAAATAAGATTGCTATTAAAGCTACTCTATCTTATACTTATAAGCTAAATAGCTTAGCTAAGCGTGTAGAATAGAAAATAATTATAAAGGTAATAAAGGATACATATAAGCGTAAATCTGCCTAATAAGCTTTAGCTAGAGATACTAGAATATAGCTACTTAGCTTTATAGAATAAGCTTAACAGCACTGCATAGATATTAATTACTAAATAAGGTTCTTAATTTCTAGTTTTAATAATACTTTAGATACTATAAACTAGCAGTTATTTAATTAAGAATAGCTAATCTACGCTTAGATTAGAGTAGTATATATGCGTACAGCTGTTAAGCTTATCTATATAAATTTAGATTAGGTAGCTAGTATAAGATATAGGTTTTTTAAAACTAATCCTAGAGGTTATATTAGATACTTAGTAAGCTATTAAGCCTTAAATATCTATAGAATATAGATCTCTTTACTTAACTAGGTTATTACAACTTGTAATATTAGGTTTAACGAAACTCATTTCTTTTAAGGAAAGAATAATAAGAATATAGAAAAGAAATTAGCGCTTAAGATTGCTAATATTCTATATAATAGCGAGCTAGATAATCTAGGCCTCCTTATTAAGAATAAATTATACCTAGAAGAGCAGTAAACTAATAAGGTTAGAAGAGATACTAAGAGTAATCTTAGAGATAAACTAAGTGTATAAACTAATTAGATAGCTAGCTAACTAAATAATTAAGAAGTTATATAAGAAGAAACTGCGCAAGACGATAGCATAGCTAGTAATTAACTAAGAATTTGCGCAGGACCTCTAAAAGATTAAAATTAGCTTGTATCTGCAGAATGCACACCTAAGCTAGGTAATATAGAGGGAAACTTTAGGTATAATGCTTAAAGTATAAGAAGAGATAGCTAATAGTAGATATATCTAGCTAGTAGAGCTAAAATATCTCGCATTCCACGCGTACGAGACGACAAGGACCATTCTATGCAGGTTGTCGTCGTCGAGTCCGTACCGGCGGATAATCTGAGTTTTTCCAGCGTAGCCTGAGGCGCGAAGCAACAGAAAGTCAGTTCAGTCACTAAAAGCGCGCCAAGACTCTCGCGTACTACATGAACGAGTGCGACGC